TTTTCAAATTGAATTTTTCAAAATTAAAAAATATATTATTGATTGAACAAATTTCCTCCTTGATAACTTTACCTTGATTCATTGTACAATCCACGAACGGCAAAAATATTTACAATACTACAAAATGCATTTGACATTAACTGACAATATTATTGTTTTGATCTCATTTTTCCATAGGTCCCTCTGGATTTAACGTAATTAAGAAAAAATCAACGTATGTTGACATAAGTGAATGCATAGCAAGGGTTTAGTGATTTTTTTTATTGTTGAATCGACTTAAACTGCAAATTCCATAGATGGGCGAACTGATATGCGAAGGGGCTCGTATACCTAATATAATATTAAATAACAGATTTAGTCTACCATTTGTTATAAATAGTGTTGAGTTTTTTTACTTTATTTCCCCTATTAATTATTGATAGGGGATTTAATATATTATATTAATTCACTAAAACACAATAATTTACATTAATTTCGAAGGAATTCCATCAAAAGCAGGTTTTTTTATATCGGAGGGGACCCGTCATTTCAGGTAGGTATTACCTGGAATTTCTGCCAGCTGGTAAAATCAGAATTAAAAAGAATATTTATGAGACATATTTATGAGACATATTTATCGTAACAATAGTTATAATAAAGTTGGTTTAAAAAATTTTTATTCCATTAAATGCATGTAGAGTAAATGTAAACGATAAAGGCAAAGAAATTGATTATTGTGTATACTCTACTCTATGTAGAATATTTCTCGATGACTCGAAATTAAAATTATTTTAAAATTAGCAAACTAATTAAACGTCCTCTCTAAAGATTGTCACTGTGGTTTATAAAATTGCTTTTTGTTTTTTTAGTACACCGCAAAGCAAATTCCACAAACATATTTATTAACTATGATCCCTGCGGTAAATTTCCATAGTTTCCTCAGCAAGTAAATTTAAACGTGGCTCTAATCCGCAGCGATTAAAAAGGTCTTAATAACTTCCCGGATATTATCAATTCATGTGATTCCTAAATCGAATCTTTAGACTTTGCAATTAATGAATTTTCAATTAAAAAATAAATTGCCAACAGCCAGATCGCAATTAAAGCCGCATATATATTCTAATGACGTTTTCGAAACGTAAATTGTCACAATTCAAATCTTTTAATTTTAAATTGGGATTCATTTTAGGAATTTGATTGAAACAAAATGTTAGTTTGCGTTTTATTTAGGTTTGGTAAATTACATCTTGTGTGTAAATTAAATTCTATATAACAGATTTAATCAGTAGATGATAACATTGACTATATTTTTCAGTCATTTTTTTATTTTCCAGTAGTTTTCGTACCTAATTCTTACAGCCATATTACATGAATTCTTCCGGAATTAAAAGTTTGGAAATCCAAGACAAAACATATATTGTGGGTATACTGCGCTTCTCGCATTTGGACCTCCATCGTTTTCTGTCCATCCATTCGTCTTCTTTGATGGCTCTATCTCTCATTATTTACCGTACATTTTGTTCCCAGGTAACTGAAGGCCTTCCCATGTTTCTTCTTTGTTGTGGTATGTAATTTAAAGCTTTCTTTGAACATCTATCTTCATTTATTCGCTTCACGTGACCATACTACGTGTATAGTGCCAAAATAAAAAACACTTACACAGTGGTGTGTACAAACTTAAATGTGGCGACTGTCCACTTCACGTGACCATACTACGTGTATAGTGCCAAAATAAAAAACACTTACACAGTGGTGTGTACAAACTTAAATGTGGCGACTGTCCAAAAACTTACATCGGTCAAACTGGTAGAAACTTTAACAAACGAATAGCAGAACATAAAAGGGCTTTCAATAATAGAAAAACAGATTCTACATACGCACTTCATCTTCTAGAGCACAATCATTCTTTTAACGACGAATTTAAAATTCTTCACATTCAAAATAAAGACCTTAAGCTATCCTTGTTAGAATCTATGGAAATCAACAAATTAAAAACACAGATATAATTCTGAATGACCAACTTGAGACAAACAATTCTCCCCTCCTCAACCTATTTCATTAGAGACTATAAAGTGTAAACGCATGCCAAAATAGATCACTTGAGAAAGGCAATCAGCCGACACAGCTGTGTTGATAAGAGTTAAAATAAATTTTTGTGGAAGTTTGAAAACAAAGTTTTCAGTGTTTTAATTGTTTACTATTTTAGTAGTTACTATGAAGGTTATTAAATTTAAAATAAGGATCCAAAATTGTGAATTAGCAACAAGAAGCAAGTTTTATTAATAAAATAGTATTCGCTTTTACACATTATATGGCACTTTACGCGAAGCTGATAAAACTTGAAAAGATACGGCGATATTAAATATTAAAAAGAGCCCAGATAACCAAATTACTGTCCTAAAACGAATCTTCAAACCGAGTTTCCCATTAACGAATTTCCCATTTGGAAAATTTTAAACAGTTTTCAATTAAAACTGTGTATACGTACCTTAATGACATTTCTGTGACAATTTTAATTCGGAATGAGCTTTCGTTAATTGCATAAATGTACGTGTAGCCTGATATAGGTTTTAATTTTTGAAGAATATCTTTTCTGGTCCCAATTTACTTTTTTAATGAGTTAATTCGTGACATTCGGTAGGTAGCGACGAAATGCAGAAAATTGTGAGAGCAATTAATGAAATTAAATATAAATTAGTAAGTAAGTAATTATACCCTTGAGATGTATTGACAAAAAGAGTAGAGACAGGCTTCTATGGACAACAAAAACCAACATCGAGATACATAATACAACTGAAAAGCGAAATGAAATAACTTGTTGAAATCACAGATATAAAAAAGATTTAGGCATACCAAATAATATGGCAACAGATCAAAGAACATATAATACAAAACAAGGCAATGAGAACGAACTATACGTTCCCGAAGAAACTGAAGCTATTTTCACTTTGAAAATCCTTTTTGTGTGGGGGATCATCCCATTATGAGTTTTGTTTTACAGTTTCTGGTATGATTTCGCTGTTTCCACTATTTTTCCCCATTTTTCTCTCTCTTTGATTGTACTTTCTATATTTCTAATTTCGTTATATATCAATATAATCATACTCATTAAGTCTTCTTTTACTTGTTGCCTCCATTTCAGTTTAGGTATGCCTCTTCTTCTTCTTCTGGTAGCACCCACCCACTTCTTCTGGTACAACACGGGGTGGGTCTTGGCTGTTTCCATCTCGAACGGTCGTCATTGATGTTTAAGTCAGTGGTTAGCCCCATTGTTCTCAAATCTGACCATATATTATCTCTTTATCGCATTCGTGGACGTCCTAAGGGCCTTCTCCCTGTCGGGACTTCTTCCCAGATTAACTTGGTAAGGCGGTTATTAGGGAGCCTATGAACATGAACGCCTATCTTAGACGTTGGGATTTAATCTCTTGGACTACGTCGCTAGCACTATACATTTGTTTGGCCTCTGGTTATTTTAACTGGTGGTATGAATTTCAACGGATTGCTCTTCTCTCTTCTCATTATGTGTCCATACCATCTAATTATTTGTGCTTTTATTGCTCTAACTATATTCTAAATATATTAATGTAACCATGTATAAACAAGGGATACTATCTATATATGGACAATTACTATAGCAGCATATCACTAGCTTCTCTCCTTCTTCGACATAAAACTCATGTAACACGTACTGTTCGAAGAGACAGGCGAGGAAATCCTGCTGGAGTAACTAAAGCAAAATTAAGAAAAGAAGAGCATGTATGGAAAAGATAAGGAAAAGTGTACATTTCAAAGTGTAGAAATAACCGTGAAGTGCTTGCGATTACGACTTTACATCACACGAAACTAACAAGGTGTAAAAATAAAAGAGAACAAGAAAAAATAAAACTCATCGAAATAATCCATTATAACAAATATATATCTGGAATAGACAGGTGTGATCAAATGATTTCATACTTTTAATGCTCCAGGAAAACCATTTTCTGGTATAAAAGTTAATATTTCATCTAGTAGATATAGCTGCCTGAAATGCATTTTTTTGTTCAAAAAGAATAACAGTCCTAATCCAGCAGCAACAATCAGATTTATCGATTTCAAGGATTTACTTATCCAAAGACTGTTAGGGCTGGACCCTAAAATAAAAGATGCGAGAATATTAAGTATTCTTCACAACATATACCACAAGAAAATACGGCTCTTCCTACTAAGTTTACACCTACATTGGAACCGTATTTCTCCGATCCGATATCGGGCGACGTCGGATTAAAACCAAACTCAAGGTATTGAAGCAGTATAGGCACTATGATTTAATACCTTGAGTTTGTTTCCAATCCGACGTCGGCCGACGTCGCGCGATATCGGATCGGGAGAAATACGGTTCCAATGTAGGTGTACACTAATTCTGAAAATTTACCGGTACAGCATTTTCAAGAAACGATACCTTTTCCACAGAATTATAACCAAAATAAGTATTTTCTGCGGTGCAAACAGTGCACAAAAGATGGAAGGAGAAGAGAGAACAGCTACAGGTGCAAAACATATGCTGAACATCCCCCATTATGTCCAGGAATATGTTTTGAGTTGTTGCATACGCAAATATAAAAGTGTAAATGTATTTTTTGTATTTAATTTTTTGCATTTTACTGCTTGTATTTTGTTTCTTGAATTTTATTTATGTTTGGTTTATTAAAATAAATGATTTTGTGTTATAAATAAGCCTACGGTGGTACCGTGGATCGTCCTTTCCTACGATGCAGATAATAACTGTCTGATGGGACTGGAACGCTTATAACCGTCCGTGTTTTTGACAAAAAAAACTATACTAATTACATACTTCTAGAAACACCTCCCTAAAGGAGTTTTTGAAATTTGACTTTTGGATTCTTAAATATCAGTGTGACAAGTTTTGACCGATTTGCAATTCGGAAGTGTCCAGCAATTTGTTAAGATTTTCTTATTTATCTTATTTAATATTAGTTTTTATACCTGCTTTTACTAAAGAAAAATTGTTTTTGTTGCAGAATGCTTCAGCCCAGGCAGCACTTCAAGCAGCTCAGGCTATAACTCCAGCTGCTAACGTCGTTACTAACGGACAGGATATACAGGGTGGCCCAAATACAGTCCTTAGAGTTATTATCGAGCACATGATCTACCCTATAAGCTTAGATATTTTACATCTGGTAAGTAAATTTAATTATTATATAATAAATTTGTAGTGGATAAGACCTAATTTAGCAAATAACATTACTCATTCACTTCTAATTGGGTTACAATTTTAAACGTGGCTCTACGAAATCTGCCTCTACAAGATGGGCAGGGCCGTATATCGGAAGTTACTCAACTTGTAAATATGATTTTCGTAAATGTTATTCTTTTCTTTCTAATGGAAACACTATTTGACACATTGAAAATTTATCGCGTTATTTGGCAGCAACAAATTTTCAAAACGTCTATTTCATGAAAAAATGGAAATATATCGGGAAAATTTTCGTGAGATGATTTTTTGTCATTTTAAAGTTGGTCTAACTAAATAAGACGTCGATCGACTTCGCGATAAAGTCCCAGACCCATCAACAGCTCTTGTCCCGGAAAACACTGACTCTATACGCAACATATCCGGATATATAAGACTATAATACGACCAACAGTCGCGTATGGAAGCGAAACATGGACGATAACAAAAAGAGAAGTAAATAAATTACGTAAAATTCTTCGAATGATATATAGCCTTGCAGAGACAACGTAACAAACGAATGGAGGGGCAGATACAATAACGAGCTAAACTCTCTATTCGGAAAAGAAAATCTAGTCAGATATTTAAAGGCCAATAGACTCAGATGGGCAGGACATGTGATACGCAGTAACGACAATCGCCTTATAAACAATGTGTTCTGGGAAAGGCCAGATGGAAGAAGGTCTGTAGGGCGGCCAGAAAAAAGGGAAAAGATGCAGTCAGAGAAGATCTAGAGAAGATGGGAACGCGACAATGGGAATTTTTGGCACAGGACCGACAAACATGGAAGACAATAGTAAACGCGGCAAAGACTCACGAAGAGTTGTAGCACCATTGATGATGATGATGATGATGATGATGATACACAACATAATTGAAGCAGATAATGAGATTAGTATATAATTGGTCATAGGCATGAGTCAAATTCAAACAATTTTGACTATTGCCCATAAGAAGGCACGTTCATTCCTAATCATTTTCATTGATAGTTTTCGTTTATTGTTTTTGAGTTCTCTGCAACAATTTTATGCTTATACAAAATTAATTGCACAGATAAGTTTTCTGTAGCTTATATTTATATTGGGCAAACTCTTCTAATTAATTGTGTGTTCATTTTACAATATATAAAAATAAGTACATAAGTATATTGAACACTTTATTTAATATTCAAACCCCTCCTAATGCCATTTTTTCAGAAATGAATATTGAAGATAAAACTTGTAATAAAAATGTTGATGTACATAAACAGTTTCAAAATTCCTGTCACGGTTGCTGTTGGTATTCATTTCGTCCGTCGTAAGTCGTAAATTTATGAGACGTAAAGTTACATGATTTTATTTAGCGAGATTGCATAATTTCATGACAAGGAGTGAAAATTGTCGCGTGAATCTTAAAAATTTCAAAAAAGAGGCTGTTTTATGTTTGATGTGACTTTTATTCCATAAACTGATTTGTATATGTGAGGGTGGCATACAATTTTGGCATTTGTATAAAAATTAAGAATGCCTTTGTGAACTGCTAAAATCAGAATTGAGACCAGCACATTATAAAAAGGCATTATAGAAGATTAAAATTATACAATTTTAATTTTCATAAATGAAAGTATGCGGATTTTTCTTCTTTTCTATTAACAAATTGAAATTGATTACGGGAATTTTTCATCGAAAAAATCTAGACAATATAAACGTTATGTTAGTAGCTAAAACGCCTTATTTTTATATTTTAACCATATATCCCAGTTAAACAAGAACCTTGTTGAACAATAATTGCAGGATGGATACTATTTTGTCATAGAAACTTATGTCATTCGACAACAATATGACAAGTTATTACTTAGACATACAGTGCTGGCCAAAAGTCCGTTCCCTACCTCGTATCTTTTGAACGGTTATTGTTAGAATAGTGAGATTTGGAGGAAGGCAATAAACAGACGTAGGCTTCTCAACTAGTCATAACATGTGACGTAATAGTGACAGATAACGTTACGGCGCCTATCTATGACAGATAATTTCAAAAAGGACCTAATCAGTCATAATAATTTTGTTTGAGTTTAAGCTCATTTTGATGAATACATTAAATAAATACTAAAATTGTAGCTTCTCATATAATTAATAAATATTTAACAACCAGTTCTTATAGTAAGTGTTCAAAATGTGCTCCATCTAATTCCTGACAGTAGTGTATCCTATTTCTTAACTTTTGCCGTACTCGTTCAAATGTGTCGGGGAATTGCCCTACATTTTTCAACAATTCGTTGTTTCATAATGTCGATATTGTCGGGTGCTGTAGCGTAAACTTTAGATTTCGAGTATCCCCACATAAAAAAATTTAATGGTGCGAGGTCCGGTGACCGAGCTGGCTATTCTATTGTACCTCGTCGTCCAATCCATCTACTACGATATTCCTCATCTAGGTAACGTCTTACTGCACCATAATAATATGCAGAAGCACTATCTTGTTTAAACGTTATTTCCAAGTTGGCGAATTCATCAAAATGAGCTTAAACTCAAATAAAATTAGTATGGTTGAATAGATGTTTTTAATACCTTTTAAACGAATGCTGTTCTATTTAATCCATTATGTTTGATCCCCATTGATCGATATTCACTGCTTTTATCTCTATGTGAGGTCGATTTTCCCCATGATATTTTTCCATGTTTCTATCTTGAGTCATACCAATGTTAACAGCATTCACACACTTATGGCTAACCGCTTCTCAATGAAGTCTTCTTTGACTTCCATTTCTATTTATTCCAGGTACCTATATATCAGCGAATCTTTGTTTAGGATGATTATGATTATTATATAGTGCAGCGGTCGGGGAACTTGTTTAATCATTACCCCAAAATATTTTCGCAATCTTCCAAAAACAAAGCTAACCTTGAAAAAGAAGCTATCTTGTTCTGTTCTACTTTCTGTCTCCAATATTGCAGCTTTAATCCAAAACCTGACACTATTTATCTCGCTGAAATGCCGTATATTTAGCTTCACCGTCCTGGCAGAATTCATGATATAGCCGCGTGTTTAGTGCATGTCCCTTGTTAAAATTTACAATTTTAATGACATCATGCATGACGGCTTCCAGTGTAGGTTCTAAATATTTACCATAAGGGCCTGGCGATGGAACATACAGTGTGTAAGTTCAATAGTTGGGTTATTTTTTTACGAAAGCCAAAAAAACATTAATATGACCCAGCAAAGATGGAGCTGCATCCGAAGATACAGAAATACAGTTTCCATTTTAAACTTTGCGCATTGAAGTATTCATTTACTTTATTGTAGACATCAATTCCAACTTGTAGAGTCCAGTTGTAGATCTCAACTCGAGAGGAAAACAAAACAGCAATTGCTCTTCAAAATTATCTGCATCTTTGTATCAAAATGCATAACGAAAACACTAATAATTAAAATACTAAAATAATACTAAAAAAAAACAATTTAATAAAAACTATTTCGATATTTCTAATAATTTATGTATTTTTAGATATTCCAGCGATTTGGAAAGGTTTTGAAAATTGTAACTTTCACCAAAAATAGTAAGTATATAAGCAATTATTCAGATACATAGTATGATCATTTTTGTTCTTTTATTTGTTTGTTTATTCCTTGTTATTGTATTTAATTTGGGTTTAGTTATACCAACCACTTGTTTTTTTTTGTTTAAATAATACACTATAAAAGTCGGTCTAGTTCACAATTCTGTATTTTATTGCTATTTTTTAGAAATTTTACGTCAAATCAAAATAAAACTCCTCTCCTTTAGGAAATTGCTTAATTACCTAAAATTCGTGACACTCAGAAGTGGCGTCATCTAATGACGAAGCCAAGAAGAACAGATTCCCTTTGAATATAATAACATTAAATTTAATACAAAACCTTTTTAAGATTTATTTTTATTGGACGAATGCATATTTGGGGAAAATAATACCACCAAGTTATTTTATACATTTATTAAAACATAAATTATACTACAATAATATTTTACAGATATTTTTGTCCTTTTTTTACAATATCTCAATACTATTTTATTAAACATTCCATCCAGCTTTTGATCTAGCCACAATGTTCCTGCTATATTTGACAGCTTCATCGTTACCTGCAAATAATAAAAACTATTATAAATCAATTGAAAATGAATATGAAGTTATTTTGCTAATATTTGTTTTCATTCACAGTTCAACACACTTCAACACTCTTTCATGACTTTTGTGCCTCTGTTGCGTTCTTTTTTTTACAATCATTTCTTCCCTTACATATCAGCATTCTATGATCTGCATATCTGTTGTTTTTCATTTAAAAACTTATTTTTCATTTTTAGTTAAGTTAAAACCCTTATCAGTGTATGTTTCAAATATATTTATTTTTCTTGAACATGCACACTTACTAAATTACTTTAATTACTCAATTGTAATTGATTGGCGCATCCACCAAAATCTGACTGTCAAACTAAGATGTTATGCAACCAGTAATACATTATCTTGATAGCTGAAATATAATAAATGATTTATTTTACTTCAACATCACCATAAAATTATCAAGGAATGCGTGTTATATACAAAGTGTAACAACCAAACACACAAGAAACGCATAGTCAGTGAGACTTGTTAGTAGTGTAAACAAAATGTGGAACATTAAAGTGTTTGGTGTATATTACTTTGAGGTTACCTAAGGTTTTTATTGAATTGAATCATTACAACAGATTATTAGGTCGTCCGCACATGGGTCGATCGAAACCACGCGCCTAAGTTTATGCGTCGTGCTCGTCTTATACGAACCCTGCGGCATGAGCGATTGTTCACCGCACACTAGTCGATTCAGTTTGCTGTTTGCTCACATCTTCCAACCAGGAAGAACACATTTTTTATATATACATATTGGCATATTCTTTCATTGTATAATTATACAATTGAGGGTATTTTTATACTTCGCCAACGAATTTTATATTTAACATCTAGAAACAGAAATTCAATGTTTTTAGAATTTTATTTTAGAAACAATATATTTCTACAAAGCTAGTAGGTAATACTACAAACAACGAACATGATATTCGTCTATCTTAAAAAAAATTATTTTAGGCCAAAAAACAATAAAAACGAAGAAAGCAAATACAGTAATCTTATCCCCATGACTGAAAACGTGCGTCTCACTCGAACTTTCTCGTGCGCTACCGATCGCATGTGACGAGAGTCGTACAAGACGAGGAGATTTGCAATTCTAGACGACCACTAAACTAAAATCCCCGTGTGTGGAGCTCAATACAACATCGAGGGAACTTGGTCGGTGGGGAGAGACCTACGCGATTGAAATCGCGTCGACCGATGTGCGGACGGCCTTAGACTTCTTTGGAAAGATCCGCCCAAATTATTATATAACCATATAGGAAAATTCGATGGTATCATCGTCGATCGGGAACGGAAGAAACCGTCGTATAACCGAACGTGAAGACCGCTTCATTGTATTAAAGTCATCGTAATGCAGTACAATATCTCCGTGGGGAACGAGCATTAAACGTTAGTAAATTGACAGTAAAAAAGACAGATGACCTGAAACTGGTTCAAATCTTATCCCAGCCTACAGCTGAACTTGTCTTAGATCATTCATATTGGACATTAGAGGTATGTTTTGTGTTCTGATCAAAAGTATGTCTTTGTGGCAGCAATAATTGAGTTGAGAAAGTTTATAAGAGACAAGCTGACAGGTTGTACGGTGTTGCATTAAAGATTAAAAAAATTGGTTATGGAGGCGGAGTTAGGATGGAATTTTCATGTGCACACAATTACCAGGTGCTCTCATTACCGGACTGATCATAGTTGCGATAGAGGAAGTTTACCAGCCGTTAGATATATTGACAAAATTCTGACAGTTTATTTTGTACGGTTTATCATTGGTAATAGAGAAAGTGTTATTTTATGCATCATAATGCAACTGCATTTTATGAATACGACTGCATTAGTCGCAAAATTTTAAAATTGTTCAACACTAGATTGCAGAAGTGGATTTTCAGATCTAGCCAGCAGGCAATTCTGATATATACTCAATCGAGCAAATATTGTATGGGATAAGCAGGATATTACGATGTATGATTCTGTCCCAACATGGATCCCAGAGCTCGTTATTGCGGTAAAGAACGGTGGCCCAACATGCCATAAGAAACAAAATTTAATTTTATTAGGTTTCTGCCTAAGCAAGAAAATGTCGCACTATCTCCTCTATTAACAATAGGAACCAACGTTTGAATAAGTTTCGTAAGGTCTTACTTGCTATTCTTAAATGTTTTATGAATAAAACTTCGAACGTTTAATCAATTTTAAGTTTATTTAAACCAAATTAAATCATTTATTATAAGTTTTATTTTGATGAGACGCATATTTCTTAAAAAAAAAACGAAAATAAAGGAGGACGTTAAAGAGTAGAATTACAAATTATAATTATACTTAGTTATAAAAGCAAACATAGTTTGTGTAAATCGTACATAGGTTATTTTTATATTAAGTATGGTATTTTATTAACAATACACGTGCGTATCATATATTATTTACAATGTTTCTATTTTTAACTGTAATAGATTCTTAATAAATTACGTGTTTTAGATGCTTTCCAAGCACTCATCCAATATCCAGATACTCAATCTGCACAAACTGCCAAACAGGCTTTAGATGGCCAAAACATATACAACAGCTGTTGTACTTTGCGCATCGATTATTCAAAAATGTCGTCGTTAAATGTGAAATACAACAACGATAAATCCCGAGATTTCACAAATCCGAGCTTACCAACCGGCGAAGGAGGAGATCCGATGCCTTTGACTGCAGGATTGGCAGGTGGAATCGGAGCTGATATTTTACTTCTAGCTACACAACCGAGATTGGCTAGAGAACGATTAGCAGGTAAATATTTGTTTTACATCATCTATATTATAATTTGCTTATTCTGTCTGTCTTTCCATAACGAAAACCTCAGCGCCACCTATCCACAAAACTAGTACTATCTGTTTACCAGTTGACTGTTTATTTTTAGTACGATAACGATGACGACTATTAGAGAAGTGTCAAACACCAGACTATAGATTATTTTGTTTGATTATACTCTTTTACTTCTAATCTATTATTAACAAAAATCTATTATGATGTTCAATATTCAACCATGTCTTTTGCAGTATAATTTTTAGCGTTTCTATAGCATTGTTAATGAACGTATAGCGACATATGAGATATCACATGACATTATCAACATATATAATTTGCTTATTCTGTCTGTCGACTGTCTGTAACGAAAACCCAAGCGTCGGCATCTCCGTTGTTATTGGTCGGGTTGGAGCATGTGATGCGTTAAATGGAAGGGAGGGGATAACGATTATACTCAGATAGAAAAAACAAACAAGGCGACTACACCTCATCTGCGTTAATAATGAACGTCTAGCGAAAATTTAAAATTATGTTTATATACCAAATTACAGAAAAAAATGTACTAACTGTCATATGTCGAAATTAAATTACCCAAATTTCTGCATTATTAATTAATTTCCAGAGGTTAATTTTATTTAAAAGAAACTTAAATATAACAATTAGCTGATAATTGTAAACTTTCAGTTGTTCAGTTGAGACCAAATCTTAGTGTATTAACGATAAATGTTTATTTAGAAAAATTTAACAACACGCTTCAGTGTCTAGTTATTTCTTCTTAAATTATAAAAAACGTTCGTTACGTTACATTTGAACGAAAAAAAACGTTATCCTACAAACTTCAAACAATTAAAATTTAACCCTTGGAGACACAAAAAGGAGGCGGGACAAAATGAAATCAAATACCAAAACTGGACTTCAGGTTATCCTGGATGATAACAATATATGATCCTTCAAACTCCGCTACTTATTTTACACTTAAATCCATCTCGGCTTACTTAGCCCTTAAGACGTTGTTATCAAATCCCTTGACACAAGATACAGCTTACAACAAACGGTGATTAAGTCAAATTACAAAGATTGCCACACTGAATTTTAAACTCAAATTACCTTCTCACCACCTATATGGAATTAAGGAAAACTTTTCCAGTTTTGCATAACCATTACCAAAACGGTGTTCACTCGCCTGGTCCCTCTATTGCTCTTTCTCTCCCCTTTAACCACTAGCTATCTTCCTCGTATCATTATCGTACATTCTTGTACCAGATTTAACATCGTGGCCAATAAGGTTTTTCTTCTGCGACTCCTTGGATACGAAATTGGTGTCTTAAGTAACGGTATTCAAATTTTGCTGGTAACTTGGTAACTTGCATGGCCCGTGACACCATGGAGTTCATACAATAATCTGGTATAGAGACTTTGGAATGGATATTAAGATCAGCTGATTTATCACGCATCAAACATGTGTGGAATATTGTACGCCTAAACCTTAATCAATTGCCACGTCCTTCAGCAAAATTAGTAGACATGTGGCATGCACTAAGAAAAATCTGGATTCGTATGGATACGTATTTCGCAATATTATATAGATCACTTAATTCAATCAATGCCCCATAGAGTAACTGACTGTACAGAAATCAAAGAGGAGCAACTGATTATTATTATATTATAATATTATCAAACAATAAGAATATAATATATACATACATAAATAAATATTTAAAAAATATTTGTCCTAGGTATTAAATTTTTTTGTTGACCATAAGTAAATAATTTATCCTATCATAGTAAATGATAACCGTTTTGTTTATTTTTTAGATTCTATACTCTCAGGTTCACCTGGTGTCCTGGCTAGCCCATTTATGCATGGTTTAGCCTCTCCTCTGGGTGCTCCCTATAACGGCGCTAGCGTTGGAGGTGGTTTACCAGGTCTAGCCAATTTCCCATTGGGCCAAGCAGCTCCTGGATTAAGAGGTCTGGCCTCGCCCGGTCTGGCTATGGCTACGGTTCTTTTAGTCAGCAATCTTAACGAAGAGGTCAGTAGATATTTACACATTCATTAGGTCAAAACTATGTTAGTTACAATACTTTACAATAAATTTAGTTAATACGCAAAAAAAAATAAACCAGTTATTGTTAGTTTAAATACCTACAAGTGTGTTTAACTTTTATAGGTGTCTACATTTTTATATCGATTTGTTCTTATTTTGCATTTGTAAGACGTGTTCTTTATTCATTTGCCACTTTCGGATTTTACTCAACTTTGTTGAGCTTTTAAAAATAGATATTACTCATCCTCAAATTTGATCTTTGGAGATGATCTTCACTCGCCTCTCAAGATCATTTTTATCGTCCTCCACTCATGCCCTCATTTTCTTTCCTTTAATCTTTTAGAATTGTATTTGAACCACCTTTATTATTTTTCATTTTGTTTGTTTTTGTTTTCTCTTACATTAATTCCTTCGAATATCTTTGTTGAGTGGCAAACACTAACCGCAAAAGCTTACATTCATTGATTTTTCAGTACGCTTATTTGCCAGACATTCAAAACATTCGCTTCCTTTTTGTTCATCATCCAATATTGACTCACTGGCATACATCATTGTTGATCAGCTCACAGTTCGGTATAAGCCCCAAAAATTCTTGGATTCAAAAGAATTTTCCCTATTTCTTGGACTTCGTGTCTCTTATTGGTTACGACATATTCATTCTTTACTTTTTGAAAACAACGTTTCTTGTTTTCATTATTTATTTTTATTCGAATATCCTTTATAAAAGGTATAGTTATGTACGAAAATCCTTTCGGGCTAAATCACACAACGTTTTCGGAATAAATATTCCATCCTCAATGCTGCTACTAGGTGTGTACATGCTTAGAGCCACTAAGTATATGGGCATTTATTTTAAATGTTATTTAATGGTATTAGATTACATAATTACTGCTAATTTTATAGGATGTTTAATAATATTAAGTAGATTCACATCAACTTAAACTGGTCCGAACATCAGCAACCATAAAATCATAATAGCAGTTTTAATATAAAGTTTTCTCCCATATATTTAGTAGCTTTAAACATATATACTCAGTAGCAGCACTGAAGATGAAATATTTATTTCGGAAACGTTGTGCGATTTAGCCTGAAAGAGTTCTTTTATATACAAATTATAAAGGATTTTAAGAATAGGTTAAAATTATGCAAAATTCCATTTTTGGTCCGACTCTCTGTATTATAACTACACATAGATAAAAATCTGCTATTTTTTAATAAAAGACATGTTTTCATTAGTTAAAAACTGTGTTGCAAAACGCGTAGTATAACAGGCTGTTAAATTTTTCAAATTAAAAAAATATATTCATGTTTTTAATATACGCATTCTAGGAAAATTTATTCGCACCAATAATTTGAATTTACCAAATATAAAATCTAAAATTACGAACAAATTCAATTAAAATGTAAAAAACGGTTGTAGTACAGATATCAGAATATTGTTTTAATTTTATTCCATTAACTACCACATTTTCATTAAATTCGTTGAAAAGGCCCTAATGGTTGCTTTAATATAAACGAACTAACTAACCCAAATTAACTGTGCAATTCATAATTTTAAAAACTGATCCAAAATATATAGAGATAAACTAAATAAAAATAAAAACCAGGGTTTATAATTGAATTAATATGTTTTTCATCACATACTCAGTAACAATAGATGCTTTAAAAAAACATCTATTTATTTCATTATTATACTCGTGTTAGTGTTCCTATCACATTTATTCATGAATATTTTTTCTACTCCTCTATTAAGGTCTCTTTAGGTAAAATAACTTAGATTTTTTATTGATTTATATGAAAAATAATACACAGAAGGTAAAATAGGTCGTTTATGAAGATGTGGAGAACTTCCCAGGATTTATCATTCCTTTAGTCGCTCTCCGAAAAACTACAAATGAAGTGGGTGTTAAGCTGAGATATCTTCTTGTTCTGCTCTCTGTTGTATTATGCCTTAGGCCTGTTATTGACAGATCTTAAGGCTTAGTCGTATTTGTAACTTTGATTGCCAGATATCTCGCCAGAAAGTTTCTTCCTGACGGTTTGAGTGTTGGTCTTAAATCTCTTGCTATTCGGGTCTCTCACCGTTCATCTATGTTATGTGCTGGTTCCATTCGCGTCTTTACCATACGGATGGTATCATCTAGCGGTGTCACCAACAAATTTGTTTTCTATCTATTGGTGTAAGAAATTGGTGTAAGAAAAATAGAAATTCTATCTATTGGTGTAAGAAAAAGGATTTTGCATTCTTTTCAAGTTAGCGAGTTCCTCTCGATCAGGATTAGAGTTTCATACAATGTGATCCTGGACAAAATTTTAATCTTGTTATTTTTTTGGAGAATCTTAAGTTATTCTTAACTTTCCCATGGAGGCATCCAGTTTAAGTGAGGCATATATTTCTTTGTTCAAGCGTTAGTCCTGGCATCTTTGACACTCATAAAAGTGATACTCAAGGTTTGTGGGTCTGCTCACTAAGAAATTCCAGTTAACTTTCTTATAATGTTTCTTATGGCTACCATTATTTTGGTGTTTTGGCAGTGCTTCTTAACTGTAAGAGATCGGTCCAAAGTTATGCCCAGATACTTCGATATAATAGATTGGTCCAGTTGTACTGTCTCGTGTACAACTGGACTCTCCAGAGGGGGGGAACCATATACGGGTGGCAGCCCGGAAGGTAGCGAAGAGTGCGGTTGCGCTGGGGAGGGTGATGCCCAACAGTGGGGGATTCAAATCAGAAAGGAGTAGGGCCTGAAATAGTGTTGTGCAGTCAATCATCCTTTACGCGTGGACTATCATGGGTTGCGTTTCTCTGCATCTGTTAACAGTAGAAGGAGACAGCTCTAGGAGAGAAGAGAGCAATTTTTACAACATCCATAAAGAAATAAGAAAGGGAAAGATCCTGAGTCTAACGGACTGGATGGACTGTGGTCACAGGCGACCTGGATTACTCCATGGTGCAAGTGCTTACGGGACATGGGTGTTTAAGGACGTGTCTTCATAGGTTCAGAAAGAAAAATACAGCCAAATGCCTATACTTCGAATATTCTGACAATGTTACTCACACAATGCTGGAGTGTAATAAAATTATAGTGGAGGGAAACATACTGTATGAAGAAATAGGTATGAAATCTGTGACTCTGAGAGAAATAATCGTAAAGATGACGGGAAGTAAGGACGAATGGAATAGTGTACACAATGACATCCGAGCAGTCATTAAGAAGAAAAAAAAAAAGAAGAGAAATACCAGCTGGACCAGCGACAGAGATAAGATCTATAAGAAGAAATCTTAAATAGAGAAATATCTTCTCTAAGAGAAGAAAGTGCTCCGAAAGTTTTGTCAGCCTTACAATGGCCATCACACTGGTATGATAGTCAACTGCACACTAATAGCAGAGGGTGGTTTTAGTTGGCAGGCAGGTGATAAGCGCGTTTGCAGTACCCCTCCTTTTAGGAGGAAATGGACTCGAATGTACTGTCCTACCCGTTGAGCTACTGTCCGTCTGAACTGCGAGCGCCCCGTCATCCGAGTATAAGCTGCGTATTTTGGGGATTGCTTGGTTGTTGGTATGTATTTAATAGTAGTGGAGCGAGTAGATTTTTCTGTGGTAAACCGTTTTTTAAATTCGCCAACGGCTGCGTTGATCCTGAAAATCCACAAAACGCATGCGGATCTAGAGAAAAGCTGATATTATTCTTGCAAGGTTGAAAAATACCATCTTTCGTGATGCTATAAATTTTCGTTAAGAGGAGTTGGTGGCGACACCTGGTATCATCTTCCTTTCGAAGCCATCTTCAATATACTGTGTAAGGTGAAGAGCTTGGCCGATACAGTTTTCTCCCTCTAAAACCCGCTTGTTGTAGGATCAGAAGGGTTTCAACGATGTGTGCTTTAATGTATTATAGATTGTAAATAAATGGATAGTTCAGTCTGATAGATCTTTGATTTTACTCGCTGCATCGTTTTCGTTTCTTGCTGAGTTTCACCCAGTTTTGCTCACTACTTTTTAGTATTCATAGCCACGTGAACATAATAGAAAAGGACACGTTTGAAAATAGGACCTGCTAATACCTTTTATGAAAAGAATAAGCAAAATATATAATTATAGTTGCCTCCAGTTTGAGACCAAGAAAGAAAATATTAAACTTCCATGGAGTTTACTAATAAAATAGCTTCCAAAGATTTGGAAATACTTTTAAAATCTTAAAACCTCTAAATCAAGATAATATTGGGTGACATGAACGCCCAAATAGGCAAAGAAGAACAGTTCGCAGGAATAATCGGCAAACACTCACTCCATCAAAACACCAACGAGAACGGAGAATTCCTAATTAATTTTGCCAGCAGGAAAAACATGATCGTGAGCTCTACGTTCTTTGCTTATCGGGATGTACACAAAGCAACGTGGATCATGCCAGGTGGAGCGGTTACTAACCAAATTGACCATGTCTTAATAGACAAAAGAGCTGCCACCAACATCCTAGATGTAAAAAGTCGAAGAGAAGCATGCTGTGGATCTGATCACTTGCTGGTACAAGCAAAATATAGATGCAGGATCTCAAGAAACAGAGATAAGAAAGAACAGATAAAAGAGCAGTTGGATATTGATAAACTAAGCCAACAAAACGTTAAACTGAGCTACGAGACAGAAATAACCCAGACACTTATAAACACAGATAACCTAGACATTGAAGAACATTGGAAACAAATGAAGACAAAAGTATTAAATGCAGCAACAAAGACCATCGGTAAAAAGGTAAAGAAGCAAAGGGCAGAATGGTTCAACGAAGAGTGTAGACGGGCCATACACGAACGAAATGAAGCTCACAAGAAATATATGGAAAGGCGAACCAGAGAAAGAAGAACATTTTTCGAGGAGCTACGACGCAGGGCGGATAAAATATGTCGAGGAGAAAAAATAAAATGGGAAAATAATAAGATACAGAAAATGAAACAAAACCTCCAAAGCAACGATCTAAGGGAGGCATAT